CATGAAAATTCAAGAGGTGAAAAATGAGGTGAAAAAACAGGTGAAATCTCACCTTCTTCACCTAAAATATATTTTTATGAATTCTTATAATATTCTGAGTAATATGACAGATGTTTATATAACCTTTCCCGGTTTATAGGACCTCTCTCATATTCTATCTTGTCATATCAAAACTCATAGTCATGTTTGTCCTCTAAGACTTCATTTATACTAAACATCTTCAGGGCTAGAAGGCACGAAGTGCCTGGAAGCCCCACTACCTTTTTTTTTTTTTTTTTTTTTTTTTTTTTTTTTTTTTTTTTTTTTTTTTTTTTTTTTTTTTTAATATCTCTCACCCTCCAATTCATCCTATGGCGCCGAAAAAATTTTGGTGAAATGCGACCACATTTCACCAAAATTTCTCGGCGCCATATAGAGAACTAGAGCCTGTGAGGTACTGATACTATCCATGTACCTCGCAGGCTCTAGTTCCAAGCCAAAATGGCTAAAAATTGCCCGCAATTGTTCACATTGCGGGCAATTTTTAGCCATTTTGGCTGGGAATTGGAGGGTGAGAGTAGTATTGTATGAAATAATATCTCTCACCCTCCAATTCATCCTATGGCGCCGAAAAAATTTTGGTGAAACGTGGTCGCATTTCACCAAAATTTCTCGGCGCCATATAGAGAACTAGAGCCTGTGAGGTACTGATACTATCCATGTACCTCGCAGGCTCTAGTTCCAAGCCAAAATGGCTAAAAATTGCCCGCAATTGTTCACATTGCGGGCAATTTTTAGCCATTTTGGCTGGGAATTGGAGGGTGAGAGTAGTATTGTATGAAATAATATCTCTCACCCTCCAATTCATCCTATGGCGCCGAAAAAATTTTGGTGAAATGCGACCACATTTCACCAAAATTTCTCGGCGCCATATAGAGAACTAGAGCCTGTGAGGTACTGATACTATCCATGTACCTCGCAGGCTCTAGTTCCAAGCCAAAATGGCTAAAAATTGCCCGCAATTGTTCACATTCCCATCTTTTGTTGGTAAGACGAAGAATATGAAATAAATTATGAAGAAGATAATGATGAATAAAATATCACTTTTTATATTTTTGACACGTAAAGTTGTCACTTTTCTGTCAAACTGTTTTTATCGTTTTCGTATATAACAAAATATCTCTTACGAGTACATATGCTGAACATTTGCAGGCATTGGTTCATCTTCATATTCTCTGTACTTTTCTGCCACGTCAAATAAATAAATGACACAATGGAAAAAAACTAAAACAAGTAGTCCTATTTCAAACCACATTTACTTACTAATAAAATTTCTTTATTGTGACACTTTCTGCAGTTTATAGGACCTCTCTCATATTCTATCTTGTCATATATAAACTCATAGTCATGTATGTCCTCTAACCATCTCATAACGGTTTCCAAACCACTTTTATCGGATGTAAAGTAAAAGCATGGATGGTTATGTAAAACGTCTAAAGTTTCTAAAGAGTCTCTCAAAGTCCAGTCTACTTGGTATTGAAAATCCCATGTGTTATAGAACGGCGGGTCCACTATAAAGAAAACATTTTCCTTGTCTTTATATTTTTCATACAAATCTGTCCAATGACATCTCACAAACTCTATACCCTCAATATATTTTTCTATGTCCTCTTTGAAAACATTTGTATAGTTAAGATATAAAACTTTTGACATAAGTGTTTCAATGTCATGAACTCTTATAGCACCACTATATAATAGTCTAGCAGATATACTATCCCAGTCTATATATTCTGCTTTTTTCAAAACCTCTCTCACAATATTTTTCTTATCTAATGGTATACGTTCCATCTTACCTATAGGTATCTTTTCTTTTAACTCTTTCAATATATTGTTTGTGTCTGGAATATGTTTGAGACGGTTCATATAGTTGTCGAAGTCATTGTATATAATCTTTGAGTCAGGAAATACGGTGTAATGCATGAAAAATAGCGTGACTTCATTTTTGACAGTTTACAAATGTAAAGTGTTGCATCCTTAAAAACTTGGAAATATATACATTCATGAATTATCTTGTATATTAATTGAAAATCCATAAAACCCTAACAATATTTTTTCTTAAAAAAAACTATAAAAATATAAATAAAATTAATCGTTAAATAAAAATATTTGATATTAGAATTTTATTGGAAAAATAAAAAACTTAATATTTTAAAGAAATACTTAAATACTTGAATGTTTTAACTTTTACATTATCATATAGACTCTCAAATTATTGATTGGAAACGGTTTGAGGGTTATCAATTTAAAAAAATTGTGAGTTTTTTAGATTTTTGGCAATGTTAAACGGTTAATTTTTTCTCAAAAAAAATTATTTCGAATTTCCGAAATTTTTGACATTTTGGCTGAGAACTATGGTCTGCGAGGTACATAGATAGAATCAGTACCTCGCAGACTATAGTTCTCTATATGGCGCCGAAAATTTTTGGTGAAATGTCGTCGCATTTCACCAAAAATTTTTCGGCCCCATAGGAAGAATTGGAGGGTGTGAGATACTATTACATGCTATAGTACTCACACCCTCCAACTCCCAATCAAAATCGCATAAAATTTGCTACTTATCTTCAGATTACCTCCCATTATAAAATATATCATTGCTATCTCATCGTCCTATACTTCCACCCTATTGTATTTAAAAATATAAAATTTTTTGATAATATATTTTTATATCTTGAATTTTCAAACAATATATTCACAGATAATATAATGGGAAATCTATCTCAACCTAGCCTTAAAGTACCAAACTCCTGCTTGCATTCTCACTCACAAATATTAAACATCCATCTCCAAAAAACTAAATTCTTCACAATTTTTTTAAAATTGAGAACATAAAAAACGTATGCATTCAATAATTTAAGATACTAACAAATATTACAAACTTCAAAATATCAGATATTAACGTTTTTCAATTAAAAAATATCATTTTGCTTTTCAATTCGAACATAAATCTGAAATATTTTTAATTAATATCTGATTTACAGCATTATTATCCATTTATAAATCTGACAAATAAATGACAAAACCATCAGAAATGGTGTCACTTTTGTCAAAAGTGAAGTCGCGCTATTTTTCATGCACAACATACGGTATGACATAAATGGGATATATAGAAACTTCCACCGAACAAATCTACAAATGTTAGACCATTCGGTAGTTTCTTAAGTTCTCTCAATATAATATCTTTACATCTACTCTTATTTCCAAAGAACGGTAACGGCGGTTTTGTAAAATTCATTTATATATAATAATAAAAATGTTTTTACCCGAAAAGTGATAGAAAAGTGACAAAACATGAAAACATATATAATTTGTGAAAAGCGATATAAAAGGTGATATTTTAAAAAGTGACACTATTAATATGATGTAAATAACAACGGTTTTGGTTTTGTCACCGGCTGGTCGGCTGGGGTTCGGTCCTCCTCTTGGGTCTTGGGCAAAATTTTTTATGGGCTAGAGGGCGCAACGCGCCTGGAAGCCCCACTTACCTGACCTTACTTAAATTGGCACAGTACTTTATTCAAATATGAAAGAGTTAAATTGTTGTAAACAGAAATTCATCAAAAGTGACACCTCAGAAAAGCTAAAATATTGAATTTTTGGAACTTTTGATAGAGCACGTTTTTAAATATTAATTAAAGTAAATGTATATTTTGTAAAGATCCTTTTTAATAAAAAAATAAAATTTTGAAGAAGAACACAAAATCTTCTGAAAAATAATATCACATAAACTCATATTATTTTCTAATATATAACTATTTTATATAAAAATCAAATTCAATGATCTTAAAAGCGAAGGATAAACCTCAAAATTTACGAATATAATGAGTGGGAATATAATGCTTATCTATCATAAAACCATATGAAATATCAACTTTTGCTTTACGCCTAATTTTTGACGACAATTAGCAAAAAATGTTAAATGTTAACACTCAGTCCATTTGAATATGAAAAATAAAATTGACTTTGATTAAATGTTTTTATTTATCATGCAATTCTTCTTGCGACCAAAGATTTGAATAAAATTTCAAAAAATAAGATAGCTTAAAAAATAATATACGGTAGTGTTTACTAATAGATGAATAGTATATAAATTCTATTAAAATGGATTTGATCCAAAAAAATATAAAACTAAAAATAATTGTTATAATTTAAATGAAGAAGTAATTTAAAACGATTTTATTTATGATCAAATTTTATATATTTTTTTGGATCAAATCCATTTTAATAGAATTTATATACTATTCATCTATTAGTAAACACTACCGTATATTATTTTTTAAGCTATCTTATTTTTTGAACTTTTATTCAAATCTTTGGTCGCAAGAAGAATTGCATGATAAATAAAAACATTTAATCAAAGTCAATTTTATTTTTCATATTCAAATGGACTGAGTGTTAACATTTAACATTTTTTGCTAATTGTCGTCAAAAATTAGGCGTAAAGCAAAAGTTGATATTTCATATGGTTTTATGATAGATAAGCATTATATTCCCACTCATTATATTCGTAAATTTTGAGGTTTATCCTTCGCTTTTAAGATCATTGAATTTGATTTTTATATAAAATAGTTATATATTAGAAAATAATATGAGTTTATGTGATATTATTTTTCAGAAGATTTCATTCTATATGCCTATGAAAAGTACTCTCAAAACTAACTTTTTCCTAATTATAATTAAATCTAGAATATTGTATTATGCTTAGTATTATTTCATTTTTCTCATTCAATTTAGAATTTACAAATGTCAAAAAATTGAGAGCTGTCACTTTTGATGAATTTCTGTTTATTACAAAATTATCAAAAATAACATAATAAATAATAAATGCAAATTAATTTTGATTTTCAATAACTGATTTGTCGATATTTCAATTAATAATTATGAATGGATGATCTTGTTGTATGCAAATTTTATAATTCTATTTTTGGTGTTCGTACGTTAAGGAAAATTTTTCTCATTCCAAAATGGAGCCCCCAAAGGCTGATAAAATGGAGCCACCAAAAGTCGATAAAATAGCAGAATCAATGCTTAACCAAGCGGAGAAACTTTGGAAGCTTTCTAAAGATCAGCAAGCATGCGAGTGGTACGAAAAATACTTCCAACGCACGTATAAGGAAGGTGATCCTATTACACCAAAGCTTGCAACAAACCTATTGCATTACGCAGAAAGCCTTCTCAATAAACCTGCTAATACTGCCGAAGATAAGGCCCAGCGTGACGATGATTTGGAAACAGCAGCAGAATATTGCGTTACAGCTCGCGAGACATACATGAATGCTAAACCAGAAGAGTATGAATTTAAGAATTACATCAATACCTACGTCTTCCTTGGTCGTATATCAAATTTATTCAACAGATTCAAGCAAGCAGTTCGTGAATTTTCAAAAGCACTTGATATTTGCGAGCATGATCAACGTGCGACATGGCGTAACAAAGCAGAAATTTGTCTATTTCTCGGTGGTGCCTACGAAAATTGCGAAAAACCAAAGGCTGGTATAGAAGCATTGAAACCAGGCGTTGAACTCATTACAGCCGAAATTGAGAAAGAATCAGATCCAGAAAAGAAGAAGCAACTTGAGGACTTACGTTCAGACTTAACTGATGTTCTCAAGCGCCTTGAAGAAGATCTCAAGGAACAAGAAAATGATCCAGAACTTCAGAAAGAACTTGCCAAGCAGGAAGAAGAAGAGGAAGAGGAGGAAGAAGATGGTGAAGAAGAGGAAGGTGGAGAAGAAGATGATGAGGAAGAAGAAGTTGATGAAGGCGAAAAGAAGGAAGAGAAACCGAAAGAGGAAGAAAAGAAAGAAGATAAGCCAAAAGAGGAAGAAAAGAAGGAAGATAAACCAGCTGAAGAAAAGCCAAAAGAAGAAGAAAAGAAGGAAGATAAACCAGCTGAAGAAAAGAAAGAGTAATTTCAAAATAATAATATCCTCGTAGATATGTAATGTTCTATTTATCTATATTATAAGACTATATAATGCACAAATTCGTTATTATTTAAATAAACCATTATTATTAAAAATAACTTCATTTTACTAATTGTTTTCATAATTCATATGAGTAAAAACATGCGCAGTATCTCACATGACATAGATTTAATTGAATCATCAATAGATTGATGGAAAGATTAACAAAATAATAAAGAATTTATTTCCTTTTTATTAAGTAGAGGTAAAAATAGTGAACATTAGAGATATATCAATAGATAATATTTTATTAGTATACATATATTAAACGGAATTTTGATATTGTAATTCTTTTCTAGTTGATGAAAGAAAATTAATAATCTCCTGTTTCTTTTAGAATACTTATTGCGTTTCTAAAGGCAACAACGACGTATTTTGCTGTTTCGATGTATTTAACAACTAATCTGTCAATAGCTTTCTTTTCAGCAATTGTAAGCTCTGATGCTGCAGCTTTAGCTACTGAAATAACAGCCTTATCGAATATTTCTATTGTCATTTGCATTAGTCGACGTCTAATAACTGGATCTTTTGCTAAATTCATCAAAAATGTCACTTTTCTGATAAACTTGAGCAAATCCCAGCATGAGCATTAAATACAAACTTGTGTTTCTTATGAAGTAATTTACACGCCAATGAAATACTGAAATATTAAACGTTTGAAGCTCTGCTAATAATTTTAATAAATTATCTCATAACTTCATGTTTATTGCTGTATTTTACTAATACAATGCATTTTTATAGTGTTTGCAAACTGATATCATATTTGCATTATTGTAGTTTTCAATACCCTGCTTGTTTTCTCATTATTAATATATTTCCAAGTTATAGTAGAGCTAAAGCTTTTAAAATTATTGATAAATATAACTAGGTTTATCCAGTTATGGTTGATTTATGCTTCCCAATCCACAGTATCCAAAATATATTTAGTTGTTTTCTGAATAATGCATATTTATGCAAACATATTGTATTACATTTGTACTTATTAGTCCTTGCACATGACAAAAGAAAAATCTAAGATGGAATATTTCGCAAAAATATGACACGTAAAGTTAGCAATTTACCAGTAAAATATATGACACAAGCTCCTCAGTTCGTAATTACCAAATGGAATGGAGTAGCCCTTTGGTCATGGGAAATGGAGCAGGATACTTGCGCTATTTGCAAACTTTCTTTAGTCGATAAATGCGTTCAATGTCAAGCTAACGATGCCGATGATAGTGTACCATGCCCTCCAGAGTTTGGTGTATGCGGACATGGCTTCCATAAGCACTGTATTGATAAATGGGTCAAGACAAATCCAACATGCCCACTTTGCACATCAGCTTGGAGTCCAACAACACCTCCACACTAAACATTTTGTGTTATACTGCACTTGCTTTAAATTCAAAATAACATTGCATATTTAATTTTAGAGTTAGCAATCGTAAAAACTTTTATTGAAAGAAAATTACTAATACTTAAATTACAATGCATTTCTTTTATAATTACTTCGCTCTATACATTCTGTACTCTTAAATCAAAACAGAATTATAGAATTATTCTGAAATATTTTTAATATATTTTGTTTATGATCTTGATATTCCTAGATTTCTTATTGGTTTATCATTTTCCCCTAGGATATATGCCTATGATATACTTATAATATTATCATAATCAAATAGAATTGATTGAATAATTTTGGATATTGGTATGTTTTTCGATTAGACGAATGCGTGTATCCTCATACAAATAATGCATTAAGGAGATATGAATTATTAGATATTTTTTTAGTCAAGATTTTCGAAAAATGTTCTGTGAACTTTACATTGTCAAATTTTTATGATTATTTGGCACTTTACATAAATTTTACAAAAGCTCACTTTTTTAAAAAACTCGTTTTTACATGACAACACAGAACCAGCTTCAAAGATTATCATTAGATAAAAACGTATTCTGGACAGGAACACTTCAAATCAATGATATGGGTGGTCATGTTTTCTTCGATGTTAGAGTTAAAAAAGCTGTTCCCGATGCACCAGCGATGATTGGTTTGTATACTAACGATATTCCACCATTCCCACTCTCATCAACAGATACACTTAACATTGCTTTCACTCTCGAGGTCAATGAAGGCTATTCTGCTGTAAGAACAGAAATTGTTAAAGCATCTCTTCTCGGATCAGAACTACATCAGGCCATTGAAGCTCAAAATCCAAAGGGCTCAATCAATTTCGTTAATGAAACAGGCGAATGGCAGTTCGATTGCCTTGATGGAATTTGGTGCCTCAAGTGGGTAGTTATTTATGCACCAACAGCTAATGTTAAGGAGATTTGTCGTGATATATAAAATATTTATGTAATAAAATTAAATTTTATTGTTTACTAAATAAATATTACACCAATAACAGTCTAGCCTAATAGTATGTACTATAAAATATGAATTAAAGACACTCTCAATTGACAATTTTCGAATAGAGCAAATTCTAAATTATATTTTTGGGAGAAATCATTGTTTTCATCTCTCACCATATCACCAAATATTTTTACTTTTTGAATGCATTCATTTACCATATATTCCTTTGAAAATAAAATGAGATATAATTATCGATTGCCTCATATGACCACATGAAAGAGGTTTCAATATGTACTCTCTAAGAATGATTTATCAAGTTTACAATCAATTTGTTGGTATTGAAATAATATACCAAAGGTCACATGATTGAAATTTCGTTTTTAAGGGTGCACCCGTATGTACGTTTATTTGAGAGGAGGAGGATTACCCTCTCAATTTTGAGGGATTCGTTAGTTTATTTTCTCGATGAATATGCAATAAAATTTGATTTTTACCTTATCAATATACTTCATATAATATACACATTTTCATGTAAAAACTTTTTTCCAAAATCCTCAGGAATTAAGGGATTTTTGAATTTTAAGAATTTTTTTCGAATTTTTTCGAAAAAAAAATATTTTCAGAACAGCCTTAACGGCTAAGATTTAGGAACAATGTTAAGTATCAAAAAGAAAGGAGGTCTGATATAGACAACATATATCGTTGAAGGTTGAAAAAATCTCTAATATTTGAGCCCAAAATTTCAAATTTTAATTTTTTGAAAAAAGAGGCCATCCGTATGTACGTTTATTTGAGAGGAGGAGGATTATATTTTTGAAAGGGTGAAACATTATGAATATGTTAATTATATAATAATATGTATTATTATAAAAAAGAAAAAATAAAGCACGTTAAAATTTTTCTTTCTTGATTTTTTACAAAATCTACTTAGAATTATGCAAAATATGACTAAATAATTATAAATTTCAAGTTAAATTTTAATTTTGATAAATAATTGAAATTTCAAAATATCAAGTTCAGTTCGACTATGTATGTAGTAATTCCTCAATAAAGTGCCAAAACCCTATTAAAATATATGAACATTTTCAACATTTTAATGTTTTTATTTAAAAATTTGATGGAATATGAGATTCAAACAATTATTATGTAAATAAAAATAATTAAATATATGTATTTATTCGTATTACAACCGTAGTAAGTCGATTCTTCCTTTCTTCTACTGAGTTTTGAATTTGATTTCGAATTGTAAAGAGATTCAAAGGGAAAATACTAGCAGATAAAAACTACCTCAATGAAAGGGTCATAATGGAGTCAAGTTGTATTTTTTGATATTTTTTGCTTTTCGAGCCTAAATAGGTAGCCAAGATAATGCCTAAAAATAAGGTTCTAAATTCTGAAGTTTACATGATCCTCTCGTGTGCACCCTTAAATTATAACAATTATTTTTGGTTTTATATTTTTTGGATCAAATCCATTTTAATAGAATTTATATACTATTCATCTATTAGTAAACACTACCGTATATTATTTTTTAAGCTATCTTATTTTTTGAAATTTTATTCAAATCTTTGGTCGCAAGAAGAATTGCATGATAAATAAAAACATTTAATCAAAGTCAATTTTATTTTTCATATTCAAATGGACTGAGTGTTAACATTTAACATTTTTTGCTAATTGTCGTCAAAAATTAGGCGTAAAGCAAAAATTGATATTTCATATGGTTTTATGATAGATAAGCATTATATTCCCACTCATTATATTCGTAAATTTTGAGGTTTATCCTTCGCTTTTAAGATCATTGAATTTGATTTTTATATAAAATAGTTATATATTAGAAAATAATATGAGTTTATGTGATATTATTTTTCAGAAGATTTTGTGTTCTTCTTCAAAATTTTATTTTTTATTAAAAAGAATCTTTACAAAATATACATTTACTTTAATTAATATTTAAAAACGTGCTCTATCAAAAGTTCCAAAAATTCAATATTTTAGCTTTTCTGAGGTGTCACTTTTGATGAATTTCTGTTTACAACAAAATCGCTTCTTATGCTTATCCACTGATAAATTATGATCATTTCCAGCGTGTTTTCAGAACAAACGATGATTGTTTGCCACACATTTTAATTAGATTAAAATAATAGTAGGTATCATATATTGATATAAATTCATTTTATTGACATATCGAAATTGAGAGTATTAAGTGAACTGTTGATTATTCAATTTATAATTGAATTGCATTTCAAAAAAGTTCATCTCACATTTTAAGAATGCTCTCTCAGTGCTCTCCTCTCCGCTTTGGCTCCGTCACAGTCACAAAGGGTGGCGCAAAGAAGACACTCAACTATGAAGATGAACAAACACTCTTCACAGTCCTTACAGAAGCTGGCCTTATGTCAACAGAAGGCACATGCAGTGGCAACAGAGCTTGCGGAAAGTGCTTCTGCAAGCACACAGGTGGCAAAGTTGCTGATGCCGATGAGGAAGAGAAGGAATTCCTTGAAGACCAGCCAGCTGGCACACGCCTTGCTTGCTGCATCACACTCACAGGCGAGAACAACGGTGCTACATTCGAGGTCTAAATATTTTAGGAATTGTATGATCATTTAAGAACTAAATAAAAGTAATTTTTTTGAAACGAGAAATCTTAGGTATTTTTTAAAGTCTTAGAGCTAAAAAGAAATTTTGTTTGTGGAATCATCCCCAATCTCCAAAAATTTTCATGATAGCAGATTTTATTTGAAATATCATTCGAGGTAGCGCAACTATATGTAAAAAATTAGCACATTACCTATAATATTCAGAGTCATATCATTAACATGGATTTTGAAATGGATTAATAATTCGGCAAATAATGAAAATTGCTTTGTAAAACCAGAGAACACATTGTGTTTCGATAACTATCAGCATGATAGCACAAATCTGGTTCATCACCTAGAATTGTTTTCACAATATCCAAAAAACGTAACAATCTATCAAAATGTCATGAATAATAATTTTCTACAATGGATCTATCACTATATTTAGGGAATAATTGATATATTAAGAAATTTGACTTGATTTGTGAAATATGAACGTAATCAGGTCTGATATCCAAGATTTTTCCCTAAAAATCATATTTAATTTATGTTGCAACTTGTTATTGTCTCATTCATTTAAATTATCAATACGACTTATTTGAAATTAACATAATTATGATATATATTCATCAAAATTCATTAATCTCACCTTGTGTAATTTCTTTCTCATTCATAAGCCTGGATAAAGTCATTGAATGGGATAAATATCAAATTTTGGGATTTAGAAGTCGTAATGTATATGTTAATTGATTTAATTTCGGTATTAATAATCCAGCTGGTTGAATCGCAATTGCAATTGATTCTTAAATGTCTGGCATTAATGATTGCAATCGAAATCTAAATTTTTACAACATATCAGCCTTTCTGGATAACAAAAATATGGTTAGATAATGTCAACTTTGAAAAATATATATCAAAAACTCATCCATCTTGTTAAAAACTTTCAAATGATTTCTGATTAGAAAAATGTCCTATTGTGATAATGCTTATCTGAGATTGAAATATTATTTATCTATTACAATTTCCTGTGTTCTTCTTTAAAATTGTCTTATGTGAGAATGCACTCTCAGTTATTGAAAAATTTTCAGAGTTATCGCTCTAACGTTTAAAAAATAAAATAATACTTTTTCTTGAAACAAAGTAATAATATCTTCGTAATCCTATTTTTCAGTGGAAAATACGATAAAATACGGGAGGATTAAGAGTGAAAGCTCAATTGACTCTTAATTAATATTAAAATGTCAATTGACTCTTCGAGTTATGATTTAAATTGAAGTAACATGAAAATTGAATATGCACGATTTTATCAAAGTATAAACCTTTCAAAAATTAAAGTAAGAGTGTAAGAAAAACCGGGAATAATTTTTTTGGGGTTGTATTATTGTCGTCTGGCGGTTTTAGACGACAATGCGAATCTCAGGATTGGTGTGCTTTTTAACTAAATTATTTATATGGTTTAAATAAGCAATATTTATATAAATATTTCATATAGTTATTAAGGATATATAACATATTTTTACAAATAATATATTATGAATATCTTCAAAACATATTTTTAACCTATAAAATCATGCGGACATATTGTAAATAAGCTATATATTCAAATACAATTCTTCACATAGCAAGAAATAGCTTTATTATTCTGAAATAAATATCGCATTTTATCAATTTGTTGTTCTTTATGATTTGATCTTCTCATGCATTAATATAGCATATGATCTATATGTTCTTTATAGAATTATAGGTAAAATTTGGTATATGCACCCTTTAAAATGTGTATTTATAGCACAAATTCAATTATTTTTCATGATATCAATAGTTGCGTTTTCCTAACCAATAATTCTTATTTCTTTATGTTTAAACTAATTGGCAATATAAATGGAAATATGTTATATAATATTATCTTAGTTAAATAGATTTTAATATAATATTACCTTAGAAAATGATATATAACTTTGCTCATGAACATCATTTTTGTATACCATTAATTGAGTTATTCCAACGCATAAGGCAAGAATCAATTAATTTTAATTAGCTAAATAATTAATAATAGTGATTCTATGAATGGTAAAAATGGTTGTGTCGCGTATTTTGGTGGTAAATATTCAGTAGTATATGTGGATGGGTTGTGTGACTTTTTTTGTAAACGTAAGAATTCATACAATATTGAACGATTTTGTATCATTTTTTTTAACATATGAAATAAAAAATGTATGATTCTTACGGTTTTTATTCTTACGTTTTTGAATAAATCAAGATTTAAAAAATTTCAAAATTGTAAGACATTTACACTCAGCCCATACATAATGAAATAAAAGAAGTTATATATAGATGATGTCAGATATTCCACAATTAATTAAACCAATGTTTAAAATAAAGATTGAGTTCAACATTGAACTTTAAGAAACTAATGATTATCATGAATGAAAAATAAACTTTAAAAATTCATATCTTACAGTTCTGAATAATTTATTTTTATTTTGTATGAAATGAGCGTCAAAACTAACAATGTTAAAAATTTAGGATTCACAAACGAGGAAATAAAGGATATATTAGAGGAGGCGGGTTATGAAGTTGATAAATATTATTTAAGAAATTGTAAAAAATTCGCGGAGTTTTTAAATGAATTTGGTTATGATGGAAAAATGAATAAAGATGATGTTATAAATTTCTTATATCCCACATCTAAAGAAGAAAAACCTAAAGAACCTGATGTTTTCCCTGAATATTATGAAGAACGAATTAAAGATGATGAATATGATGAAATTGAAAGACTGGAAAAAATAAGAGATGAAATAGATGAAAAAATTAAGGAATTAAGAGAAGTTGAAAAATATAATGAAAATGAAGTAGAGGGTTTAATGAATATCCCAGCTTCAGAATCAGAAGTTCAGAAATCTCATGAAGAAAGATATAAAAATTATGTCTCAGAATCAACACAAAATTTATTAGATGGTGAAATAGACGAAACACTTTCAGAAGAAGGTACTAAATTTATACGTAAACATAAGTTACAATTTATTGATAATGAAGAATACCCTTGTATCTTACTTTCACCACCTTTAGATTCCGAGAAATTCAAAAAAGCTCTTAAAAACGTGACATATGCAACTAATACGATTAAGAAAGAAGATCATGATATTTACACAAATTATTATTTAAATAAATGCACAGGTGTTGATAAAGTTTTTGATTTATTAGATAAAATATCAAAAGAAACCATTGGAACATATAAAATTTTGTGTGATTGTGGTTTCATTATTGAAGATACCAATAATGTTTCATATGAAAGAACAGCACCGAAGGAAGACGAAGTGGAAAGGTCTATACCATTCGTTATTAAGAACATAAAAGATATGAAAACTTATAAACATTATATTTATTCATTTATTTCAGAAAAAATGGAAGCAACCCATAAAACATCTTCTCATCATTTTATAGCTATTCATACATTCCTTTTCAAAGTTGTGAAATTAAATAAGACAGGAATTAGATTTAATGTATCAGGGTACGCATTCTTGAGTAAATTAAAATGTATTCGTCACGTCGCAGATGATAAAAATTTATGTGTTCTTAATTCATTTTATGGGCTTTAAAAAAAAACTTTATTTTTATTTATTTTTTAATTTTTTATTTTAACATGAACAAAACGGAACAGCTAAAATGAATGATAATCAAATTAGAGCAGAAGGTAGAAGGTTATTTAAACGCTTCTATAACATTCCTGATGGTGTTAATCCTAAAACTCGTAGAAGTTATTTAAATGAAGCAATAGATGCATATGAAGGGTTTGACATTTCATCAGAAAGTGAGAGATTAGCGAGAATGTTAAATGTTAATATTGATTTCTATTATTGTGATCCTCAACCAGAAGACGTGGACATAAATAAGGTAGACTTTCCATTAGTGGAATCAATAATGATAGATCCAGAATTTGAAACAATAAATATTTTATTAACACAGAGTCCAAATGGAAAACTTCACGCTGACAGAATAACAGACGTTGAAGCACTCACCGGCTATAGAGTTTGTCCATATTGTAAAGAAGAAGTTTATTCTATCCGTGATGATCCAGAAAGGAAAAAACAAAGAAGATTTTTAAAGCATTGTGAGAAATGTAAAGAAAATAATGGGAGATTAATTCAAGACGTTCAGTTGCAAAAGATCCAGCAACCATATGCACCACATATTACGAAACAGAAGATATATCAGTGGTTATTAGCTCATAATTTGCAGGAATATTATCAACCGACAAGATATTATATTACTTTTGACTTCGAAACATTAGAGACTAAAGAAGAATTACAACTTTCTGAGTGTGCAACTTTGAACGCTTACTTAAAACCATTCATGGTATCATCAACGGTTAAATTAAATGATAAAACATATACGAGGAATTTTTGCTTAACTTCGAGTGATTCTTTTATTTCTGACTGGATTGAGTTTTTATTTTCAACCTGTTCATTAGTTGCTAAATCAAATATTGAACAATATGAAGAATTAATGAAGTCGCAAACATTAAATGAAAAACAGAAGGAAGCATTTAAAGAACTTCTAGATGAGGAATTCAATAAAGTGAATATCATAGGTTTTAATTCGGGAAAGTTTGATTTAAATTTAATTCTTCGTGATTTAAACACTGCAAAATGGAAAATAAAATCAATGCTGGGTTCTTCTTCTCAATTTAAGCAAGTCATTGTAAAGAAAACAAACGTTCCATATGAATTGAGATTTATTGACATCAGAAATTATATAGCGGGTGGGACATTAGACCAATTCACTCAAGATTTCGGAAACAATAAATCACGTGTTAAATCCTTTTTCCCTTATCAATTCATCACATGGGAAAATTACGAAGAAGAATTATATAAAGAGGAACCATTCACTCAAGATTCATTTTATTCAGCATTAACCCAAGAAACTATATCAGATAGTGATTATCAAATATATCTCAATGATGCTAAAAATTTTAAGAATAGATTAGAATATTTTATTCATTATTG